ACAATGCGACCCTTCGTACCTTAGGTAAGGTCACACCTTTGTGTAACCCCATTACACTCTCGCCCACCAATCCGTGGGATACGACGCAACCACGATTTTTTTCGAACTTATTGGGAGTCATCGATTTTTTTCTTCCCATTTTGCTTGCCTCGCAATAAGTGCCGCGTACTTGCGAACAAAGCTTAAAGGCTCTGACACTTGCTCCTTGAGCACCTGTGCTTTGCACACACGCTTCCTAAGCATCTTAGTGTTACGACGCTCGCTCTTTGAGCATACAGTGCATTGCACTCACGCTGAAGCATTAAGTGTTACGCCACTTGCTTATAAGCGTTGAGTGCCAAGCACTTGGTATTATTAATACCCTTTGTGTGTTTACGAACACTTGCTTTCAAAGCACTAAGTGCCTAGCACTTGCTTCAAAGCATTCCAGTGTCCACAACACCTGCTTTTAACGAACTGTCCCTATTGCTCTTGTTCCATCATGGATGATGCAATGCGCCGCGACATCTTAGGGGACGATGACAGTAACGTTGCTTCTAGGGGCAGCGGCGCCGAGTATCCGTTTGGGTCATAGTACCCAAAAAATACCACGCTCACCGAACGAAGGACGCCGATCGCTTTTGATGTCTTCTGCCTCAAGGATAACAACTGCATTGCGCCACCGCTTCCCTTGCGCGAGGGTACAGACGAAAAGGTAACCAATCCTCTTGACGCTGCACAGCGTCGTCAACTTGATGACGAGGCCCGAGCGGCCGCTTTAACACGGCCCAAACAAACATTTTCACGTCGTGATTATGGGTCGTGCCTCGGGACCCCAATGAGGAAGCTCGACGAGCTGCATCGGAATCTTTGTGTACCTATGTCATTGGGTCCCAGGCCCGTGCTGCTTGCGAGGTTGCAAATCGTACTGCTTTTCGTAAGCGGCTCCTTAATCCCCAGGCCCATGTTGGAAATGCATCTTGCAGTGACGCACACATGTGAATGCCCGTTGCTTAATTAATCCACCCAACTTACCCGTAGCAAAGCCCACACGGTACGATTCATAGGTGGTGTCAGCGATAAACATAGCCGAATCAACCTGTCGGAAGCAAAGCATAAGGTTGTCACCTTCTTTGCCGTCGAACTTATCGATTTCCATTCGTATGGGATTTGGTCTGCGGACCACTTCTTGCGCCATAGTCGTCATGGGCGTAGGCGCAGAAGAAGGCATATGTGCCTTTACGTGCTCGACTAGAGCTTTATTATACTCTTCAAGCATATGAATACGCTTGTTAACCTCTTCTTCGCCCTGGGCGATAAGGTACCCCACGCCTTAGGGTCAAGGATAGGGAGCAGCTTCTACAACCCTTCCTGTTGTGCCTGTGACAGGCCAACCACTGAAATCTCATCGATGTCCATTCTCACACAGAGAAGTAGTCGCAAACCCAGGTGCGGTATTGACTACAATTGCTACCAGGTGTAGCCGAGCTACTGTAGCTACGCTACCTATGCACTATGTGCAGATGCACTGTGTGCAGAAGAAGTAGTCAGACTACTGTAGCAAAGCTACTTATGCACTATGTGCAGAGGAAGACAAGCTCAGAGAGCTTCTACGTCTTAGGGTGCTTAACCCTCCTATGCTAGCTCGTAAGCTTGTGCCTATCGGTTGTCACAACCGGGTTTCAGTGAGATTAGTATCAATGATACTGATTCCTCAGGAGGACTAGAATGTCCAAGCTGTAAGGCTTATAGAACAGATTTGAAACTGATTTATACTTATGTTTATCTTCTAACACTAAATATAGAAGCACCTACTCTATACTTAGTGCTAGTCACTATTTACTGGCTCTATAGCCTGTTATTATTATGCAACATGTATAGTCAGTCACTATACTTAACTAAGTATAGTGACCACGTGGCTCTCTGTCACTTTTACGCGCTACAAGCGCTTCAGCATACTGTTGACTACTTTCCACGGTGGCACGGCGGGCATGATTGCCCGATGCCCCCAAAATCGATCAAAAAGATCCATGGCTTAACTTAGCGCTTAATCGTCCCTTAGACGACTAACAATCCTGGCTTGCATTCTCGTTCCATTTTTGAGAGCCTCGCCCCGCGCTTACTGGGTTCCGCCGTTTCCCCGCGGCAAGCCAGAAGGTTTACCCATGGGGCGTCGGCCCTTCGAGACGAAATATGCCTTTCTTGCAGAGCATTTTGCTATCAAATGGCCCGTGCTCTTGAAAATATAACATCTTCGCACAATTTGCTGCTCCGCAGATTGAAGCTCCGCTTCTTCATCCTCCACTTGACTACAGTCCATGGGAACAAACCCATCAGGCGAGTAGTTATAAGTGGCAGGCCTAGCGGCCTTCAAGTTGGTCTCGGCATTCTATGCCACTCCAACATCTTCCTCGAATGAGTACGGGTTTACCCGGAAGACTTTCGTTCTGGTAACGCCAACTCGGGGGCCCTTCAAGAAGACGGAATGGTCACTGCCTCAGGCATAGGGATGCCAGGCAGCAATGAGAGTTCTCAACTCTTGTACATATGACGCAAGCTCACGCTTGCCTTGGCGACACGCCAAAAACCGCGACCGGTTACAGTGTGCTTGGTTTGGCGGTGCATACTGCCGGGTCATCTGAACTTTCAGATCGGCCCATGTGGGAAAAGCATCTTGCAATGATGCACCAAAAGTGAATGCCCGCTGTTTGGCTAAACCACCTAACTTGCCCGTGACAAAGCCCACATGGTACGGTTCATAGGTGATGTCGGCTATAAATATAGCCGACTCAACCTGTCGGAACCACAGCATAAGGATATCACCTTATTTGCCGTCAAATTTATCGACTTCCGTTTGTATGGATTTTAGTCTGCGGGCCACTTCTTGCGCCATAGTCGCCATGGGCTAAGGCGCAGGAGAAGGCATCTGTGCCTTTACATGCTCGACTAGAGCTTTATTATATTCCTCAAGCATATGAATACGCTTGTTAACCTCTTCTTCGCCCTAGGCGATGAGGTATTCCACGTCCTTAGGGACAAGGATAGGATGCAGCTTCTGCAACCCTTCCTGTTGTGCCTGTGATAGGCCAACCGCTGACATCTTATTAACTTCCACAATCACATAGAGAAGTAGTCGCAACCCAGGTGCGGGATTGACTACAAGTGCTACCAAGTGTAGCCGAGCTAGTGTAGCTACGCTACTTATGCACTATGTGCAGATGCACTATGTGCAGAAGAAGTAGTCAAACTACTGTTAGCAAAGCTACTTATGTACTATGTCAAAGAGCTTCTACGTCTTAGGGTGCTTAACCCTCCTAGGCTAGCTCGTAAGCTTGTGCCTATCGGTTGTTGTAACCGTGTCTCAAAGAGACTAGTATCAATGATACGATTCCGTAGAAGGAATAGAATGCTCAAGCTGTAAGGCTTATACAGCAGGTTTTGAAACTGATTTAAATTTATGTTCATCTTCTAGCACTAAATATAGAAGCAGCTACTCTATACTTAGTGCTAGTTACTATTTACTGGCTTTGAAACCTTTTATTATTATGCAAACATGTATAGTCACTATACTGAAATGAGTCTAGTGACCACCTAGCTCTCTGCCACGATGCGACCCTTCGTACCTTAGGTACGGTCACATCGAGCCTACCATTGTACTCAAGATACAGCCACACCATAATAGTGTGGCAGGTGTGTATCTACAATACACTTCTATGTGTAACCCCGTTACATTTGCGGCTACACTTGATTCAATGTGATGTGTTGTGTCAGCTTTTGCTCAAGTTCATCCATTAATTTTGAAAGCATTGCGGGGTGTTTATCTTTATCCGCTCCCAAGGCTAGCCATGTCGGGCTAAACAGCCCTTAGGGCTGCTTTGGTCTTGGAGTAATTCCGTCAAATAGCGTGTTTGAATGAATCTCTACATTTGAGTCTAGACATGTTTAATGATTAGCATTGATTCACTACTCTAATGACTGCACCATGGGTGTCAGATCGTGCTTTACAAAAAAGGTATGAAACATTTTTTTCGCTCTCATTGAATGAACTTCAACAACTTTTATTGTGACCATCTTTTCTTGAGCATAGAAAGCTCTAAAGTCATTTTATGGTTTGTATTAACAAATCACGCTTCTCACTTATTATTTATTCTCCTGTAACCCTACAAACCTTTGCCGTTTCCTATTTCAATGCTCGTCTATCATTCGTTTGGCTATCAGCCTTACTATACAGCTACTTCAGCTCAATATAGGTGCCTTCTCTTCGGCCTATTAGTGTTTCCATACATCTACAGCTCCAAGAACCTAATAAAAGAATACACAATAGCTGCATTATACTGTTTCGGCCATTTAGCGACTTAAACATTATTTAAGTACCTGTTACGATTATAAAGTGCTGCACTTTTTTTCGATAAAATCTGTAATGTTTCAAATGGTCAGATATGAACTGGTACTGTATCAGTTTCCTAAACCTAGAATCGTGTCGAGTGTTTTCGATAAAATCGAATTAACACTTTGTTGTAAACTATCATTTTCTATCTGGTCTTTGTACATATACAAATCTACTGTCTAAAATAAGTCTTAAGCTTTTTTAAATTACTCGTTCTCTCTCGATCCTTCATTGTCTCTCTGCTTTTTGTTTCTCATTCCTCTTATCCTCCTGCGTTTTAATTTCGAATCATTTTGTGACGCTATTAAGCTCCTACATTACAAAAGCTCCAATTTATTATCCATCCTATCTAATCCTTATCCACCTTTTCTTTCTAATCACCAATTTTCAATCTCATACGACGTAAGTGCTGAAAGTTTAAGACAGAGAGGAGAAAATGGGACCTCGATCCATTTATAAAGGTGCTGGAGTACCAAGTTCTACTACTGCTATAAGTACTAGTGCTACTACACCACGTTCAAATTCAGCAACTATTCTTGTTAATTTAGATGGTACGTTCGTCCACTATCGATTCCTTTTCTCTTACTGTCTCTATCACGTGAGACTTGTAACGTGTTTGCTTTTCTAACGTTTTTAAATGTCAAACTTCTACTCTTAGTGTTTATTCATCGAGCTAATATTGGTCATGATATTAGTCCAAATGATCACGAGTTGATTGTACTCTTTCGACGTAATAGTAAAGAAGTTATCTCTGAACCAACACAATGGACTTTTGATCATTGTGCAATCTGGAATCAACACTTAAACATACAAACGTCGTTACTAGGACAGAAGAAAGCCGGACAAAGTGGGGCAATAACTTCTTCTTTTCTGAAAAAAGAATATGAAATTGTACTTGTTGCGGTACGGAAATCTCTATTTTTGATCATTTTTTGTTCGAAAGTCACAGTTATGTTTTAGTACTTTTTACTGGCTTTGTTATTGCTCTAGATCTGTATTTTATTCTTATTTTTTTCAAACTTGTTCTTGCTATTCTTTTTATTGTGTTTTTTTATGTTGATACTTGATATTTGTCTTTAGCTACCCAGCCATTCTGCTGTTGCACTCTTTTCCGTGGATTTTGCTACACTTGTTCAGCTTCAAGCTAGTCCACAAGACCGACACAAATTGTTTCGTATCTTGCCACTCAAGTGTCGAGATTTGGCGGCGACGCTCGAGCTTGACATTACGTGGGATCTTGTCCAAGAACCTGGAAATTTGCATGTTACTGCTGCAGTTGATTCCGAGACTAATTTACAAGCAGGATCTGCTGGGTTAGCGAAACTACCGCCACCATCAATTCTGCTGAATAAGAATTCTCACGCTTTGAAGGCACAGACGTCTACGCCCCGGACACCACGCTCTCGAGAGACAAACAAGTCTCGACGAAGCGCAAATGAATCAACATTAGTGTCGACACGACGAACGACTGCCGGTCTTAGCTCAAATGGCAGCGAGCGAGATTTGCTGGAAGAACTGTCCGTTTCCAATTGCAGCAATTGCCGGTCTGCTAAGCGGCGACTTGATCGCAAAGAGGTGCAAGTGTTGCAGCTCGAGTCGTTCTTGAAGGTGTCTCAGAAGCGCATTGACGCACAGACTACAGAGAATGAGGAGCTAATGATTCGAGAAAAGGCTGAGACTCGTAACGCAGCGCATCAGCGTTCACTGACCTTGCGTCTGTTACAGGAGTTAGAGACGGCTGTGCACTTATGAGATGCAGGTCCATGACACAACACTGCTGCCGCAGGTGGAGCTTATTGAACGAGTCAAGAAGTTTCACGAGGAGATGGACTCACTACTACATTGTCACTCAGAGCACTCGGAGCGTTTGAAGAGTTCGCACTTATCACAGACGCCACAAAGATCAAAGACCACCTTTGACTTTCGAGCTGAAACGGAGGCGGCGTTGCGACGCAATCAGCGACTGCAGGAACAGTTGGAGTTTCTGGGTCGTTCAATGGAGTATGATAGTGACGCAGGCGAGGATAGTACTCGGACTTATCGTGCGGCCACTGACACCTCAGGCACCACTATTTCGTCGGTCCGCAGTGGCAGCGTCACGGTGGATTGTGAAGAGCGACCTGTTGCTTTTACCATGACACAACAGCTCAATAATCTCGAACGGGAGAACTTTAAGCTGCGGACTGAGCTTGAGGGCGTACTGGTTAATGCTTCCAGTGCTTTAAAGAAACATTTGGGTGGCTTCTCTTTGCGCATGACAAAAGGTCTGTCGCTTACCGCAGAGGTCTCGGAGACTTCGAGTTCTTCGAGTCATGAAGACATTGAGGAGCCTGAGAACGAGAATGCGGCGTTACTTAGTCAAATCCGAGAGCAGCACAAGTTTGAAGCTGAAAGCTCTGCCGCACTTGAGTCGGAACTGGAGCAGGCAAAAAATGACAGTAAAAAGGTGAAAGACCAAATTGAAGTTGCACAGAACGAAAGTGCATCAAAGCCAGACCGGGAGCAGCCTTTACAGGCGCCTGGCTTTTTGGATAAGATTTATGCTAATGTTGGCAAGGCCAAATTGGTGCTTGAGGACCGTGTAAAGCAACTCGATGAATTGCTGGCTAATGCTACCGAAGAAAACGATCGTCTTTGCAACGAGATCAAGGATTTCCAGCAGCAAGAGAGTGATAGGCACAACGAAGCGATAGCGGTCAAGCCTGACGCACGCATTACTGAGCTTGAAGAATTATTGAAGATGCGGGAGAAGGAGCTGGAGACGAATGAGGAAGAACTTGTGAAGACGAAAAGACAGCTTGAAGACGCTGTGAATCGTGCTCGTGCGGGTGATAGTGTAAAGTTGGAGCTAGAGACTGAACTTGCCGCTGTCCGTCTTTCTCTAAAGGTGGCACAGGAAGCTACTACGCAGTTTGAACATCGGATGGCTGTGTTGTCTTCCAGTGCTGCTCTTGCAAGCACAACGTCTCATTACTCGCCTTCAAGTGACGCTACGGTTCATGGTGAATTGGCTGATGTGCAGAAACAGCTGAAGCTTTCAAAGCAGGAAGTAATGCAGCTTCGCTTTCGCAGTAATCAGCTTGAGAGTGTGAATGAGCGTCTAGAAGAGACGCTCAAGGAGAAGCGAACACTAGAAGTGAAGCTGATTGCGCTCGAGGGTCAGCTCTTTGAACAGCGAAATCGGACTATTACCACGGACAACAACAGCTTTTCGCAGGACGTCAAGAACATTACGATGCTGACCGAAATGCAGCGTGAGCTCGACACTAAATCTGCTCAGCTGACAATTGCTGAGCGTGAAATTGAGCATTTGCGGTTGCAGTGCAGTGAACAACGTGGTATGAATTTTATTTCTGGCAACACTGAGGATGTAATTGACAAAGTAAAGCGCTTTGAGAACGAGATTGGGCGTCTTTGTGAGCGCAATGACGAGCAAGCCAGACGACTGGAGAAGCTTGCACGTCGGGTAACAGTTGCCGTTCGTGAACGAGATGGACTTGAGATGATTGTGGAGCAAATGGTGACGGAGATGGCGCTTTTGAATAAAGAGGTGAAAGTTTCGACTGGAGCTCGTAACGGCCGAACGCCGTCAATTTTAGAGGACGAGGAGATGGAGGGAAAAAAAGTGATGCTGGATAAGGACTTGTCTCCTCAGACGGTGGGACAAAGTGGTACAACAATAATTGATCCCTATGCAAATGGTTTAACGTCGTTGTCTCATATTCCATCATCTCCTAATCCGGACGTCTCTAGCAGTAAAGTGGCTATGCTTGTGAAGAATTTTTCTATTCATGATGAGTATTCCAATGGTGTCAAGTTTTATAAAGGACTGAGAAAATCGCAATTGGAATCGCGTCATCGTAACATTTCATCCACGAGTTCATAACTTGTGTCTATCTCTGTGTGTGATTTAAGGGAGTCTGAAGTAGAAAAGTTTGAGACTTTTATCGTTTTGGACCATTAAAAGTTTCCTAATTATTTGCGATCGTAACGTGAGTCAAGTGAGTTTTGTGTTGCAAACTCTACCCAACTTCACACCTGATACCCGGTTATCGTAAAGGGTTCTTTGTTCTGCTATCTGGCAGACATAGTGTCATCCGCCAGATCCAGGACCTTGAAGTCCATGAAAATTGATGACCCACCGTTGGGCCCACTCACACCTTAAAGATGCATACCAAGTTCCCGTTCAGAGTGACCTTAATGCGGGTGCGTCCCTCCGTGGTATGCACGGATTCCCCAATACCAATACATTCTTTGCGCTCACTTTCATTAATCTGGCAGCCTACTTTACGAGCAAAGGCAATATCCAAAATAGATATCTCAGCGCCACTATCGAACAACAAGTTAGCTCAATCGTTGTTAATCTTCCCGGAGGCCTTGTCATGTCCGAACCATTTCGCAGAAGCATGGTATTTCCAATACCCCCTCGACTCGCCCGGCAGTAAGTCCAACTCCATCACTGCACTTTCTCGAACGAAATCGTTAGATGCACCGAAAGAAGCAACATGGATCATAGGACAATTTTCAAACTTCGATATATTTCCCATCGAGTTACCCTGAGTGCCCCTTTCTCCCTTGGCTGCTTTTTCACACATGCAAAAATGCAACAATTAGAACGCTCGGCTAGTACCAGATTTAAACCTGGCGAGCGTCCTAATTTAGCATCTGCTCGACCTTCTCCGGCAACATCCCAGCGTGCTTGGTCAGGTTGTACCACTGACGAATCAAGAATAAAACTCTTCCATCGGGCACTTCCCGACCTCGTGGGTTTCTCCACAGTCTCGGCACACAAACAGGCAACGATCTGATGGATGGCCCTTCTTTCCACAGCGATCACAGGTCAGCCTCATCCAACAACCCAAGTCTCCATGCTTCCTGGACCCACAATGGGCATATTTTGCACTTGGGGTTGCCGACACCGCCAAGATCCTTAGTTGAGGGTCGGGGCTGGTCGACCTCTCTGATAGGTTGTTCCCTCGGGGGCCCTTGGCCCTAGGTCCGTCTCCGTCTCCGTAGTCATGAGGTAGACCTTCCGTAGGTCACCGCCGCTATCAGAACTGTCCAAACTGGAGTCTTCGGAGCTTGATACTTCCTGGGTCGCTCGAACTGCATGTACAGAGCGGCGATTCAACTTTCTTGGCGATCAGGGGTAATCAGTGCTTTCTGGCGAAACTTGCCTGACCCAAACAACATCTTGCCCCGTCGGGCCTTCGTCCGTTGACGCGCCCTCAGCCCATCATCCAGCTCTCCACATCAACCAAACGTAACACGATCAACTGGTCCTCCAGGTCGGGGTCGTCCAAGGTCTTGATGTGGTGTTCGACATGTTTTTTTGAATCTTGGGCGGCTCATCCTTAATATTGATCTTCGCTCGAAGTCCAATGACATTTAGACGGTATCGGTAGTCCAGCGGGGATTCGTCCGACCTTTTCATTGCATGGTAATATTGGCGGGCCACTGGCACCCCCAAACCACAGAACTGCATCTGGAATTCCTGTAACAAGTCCTTCCAATTTCCACGAACAGAGCGACCTAGTTGAAGATACCAGTTCTGGGCAGGTCCGGTCAATAACACTCCAAAAGCGAGACACTTTACCCCATCTGGCGCTTGGTCCCTCGTTAACGCGGTCTTCTCAGTGGTCACCCAGCTGCGTACTCGAGCCTCATCTTGGTCTTTACCATGAAAGTCCTTGAGATCCGAGATAGCTGAGAGCTTGATGCAAGGGACCATGTTGGGCACCTGTCTCAGGATGGCATTGGACATTATCGCCAGAGGTCCACCGAGGTCCATGTCGTCTGGTTCGTATTTGCACGAACCGACCAATTCCATCTCCACGTCGGTCATCACTTGGTCTCTGGCAACTTGCATCCCTGCACTTGGACCCAGCTGGGTCGTTGACCTTTGCGCCCTCTATCGACCTCTGGCCGCACTTCCATCGATGTGTGTTTGCGGTACTTGGCGTTCTTATAAGAATTTTGCCATCGCTACGTCGAAATATGCCTGTAAATTACTTACCGGGTCGGTAGGCACTCTTTCCCGGGTTCGTCACGTGACGTGGTATAATTCGTACTAGTCTTGGCTCATTTCTGATTGGTTGAAAACTCGACCTATCAGTATCCCGACTTTCTCTTGGCTATACACACGTGGCCGTTTCTTAGCTCGCTGCTCGTCGTCCGCGCTCTCCGCTCGGGCATGCAGCATTGGCATGCCACTTGTACAAATGGCATTCGACCCACGTGACTAGCAACGGGCGACCCTTGCGATGATTGCCTTGCAGGGACCTGGGGGCCATGAGGCAAGGTGGTCTGGGCTAGACCTCGCATAGACCATGGGTCCTCGGTCGACCATTGCTCTCGAGGGTGTACCTCGATGTCTTGCAGGGTCATCTGGATATCGTCAGACGGTGCTTTTGCGGCGGTAGCAGGAGGTGAGTCGAGTAGTACTAGAATTGTTCCCACCAGGATGCCCAGACGTTTGTGTAGGATTTCTAACGTGGTCTTGATATTGTTGAACCCCAGGAAAAACAAGCCTTCAGGCTCGAGCATTCCTGCAACCATACCCACCTCGCGAAGAAGAGTCACGAGCGCGGTGATCGCGTCTGTCACCGTCCTCAGCTTGGAAACGGTTGACACAGGTCCAATGAGCTGACCCAGCAGTCGGATCTCGAGGGCTCTGGTGACGGGGTCACTCTCCAGGAGCACTTCAAGCTTGAATCGATGGTAGGCCATGTCACGTCAGCATCCGACCAGGACAAGGGTCCTGAGGTCGAGAAGACTACCGACTTGGCGTCACTTGGTGCCTTCATCCGGAGCTTGGTCGGCTTGGTCGTAGCGATCGTATTTTTTTGAAGTGTTTGTATGTTCTTAGTTTTTGGGGACAATAGTCTATCTGTATTTTTCCTTCGGCTGATTGTCCTTTGGGGCATGATAGATATCATGACCCCAAGGTGTCCTCAACGAGGACAAAAGGAAGGTATTTCGGTTTCTCTTCAATAAGTTCAACCTTGACCATATTGACCGGTCCCCTCCCAAGGTCTGGTCGGTCTTTCTATCCTTTGTTGTTTCCTTGTCTAGTCATTGGCGATCGGTCTTCCGGTGACTCTTCGGTCTTTTCCTCATTCTTTACTTGAACATCTTCATCTCCTAGGGACTCGCGGTGGTATCCCGCGTCTTCCAAAGATCCGTACACGAGCACCATTGTGATGGAGCGGTTCTTAGAACTGCGCAATGATACCCCAAGCCACTCACTGTGCCGGAATGCCGGCTGTCGGAGAAGGTATCCCGGTGCCGCGTATAAACTTTCTCGCACCTTGTGTACACGTCGGCTGGCGGGTTGCACTCTTCGGAGGACTTGGTTGAGATGTGATGCCGGCCTTGAGAGAGGTAGACCTTGAGGGTGGCTCGAGTGGGTATGCTTCACTCGTAGGCGGCTAGGTGGACACTCGGTCGACTAGGTCGTGGGTCGACTTATGACCATATTCTTCAGGGCAGATTCTCAACTCTGGCCTATTCCTTCCTTGATGTCCCATATTTTTTACCGCGTGTCCTTTACTTGCTCCCGCACCACTAGGGTAGGGAGACCGCTTACGGTGCTACTCAGCCGAATACACAGGCCAAATATATCCTGGGGCTCTACTCGCACTTGGGGCTTACCACACAACTGTCTTCGACGGGGAGCCAAAATGTATCCCTTCCCGAAACAGGTGGTAAGACTTAGTAAGCACCTTGGAAGCACGACGGGGCGTGCTGCGTAGATTGCAATTGAGTAGTATTTAATATAGTTCTATCTTTTAGCTTCTTCACTCTACCTTTACCCTCAAGACCTGATTCTTGATTCTGCTTACCGAGGGGCCGAGTGACCGAGGGGCCAAGGGGCCGGGGACAAGGGGCCGGAGGATTGAGGTCCATTGATGCATAACCAAGGTCGACCTTTGGGGACACGGGCCGAGGGTCCACCGACCGAAGTGCCAAGGTCTACCTTTATAAAAAACCGAGTTCTACCCATGATGGACCAGGGTTTAGTTTGGAAGACCGGGATCCACCTCTAGGAACCGCGATCCAACATCCTAACCGCGGTTAACTCCTCTGAATGGAGCACGCTTAAACTGTACGTTTTTCTCATCCAACTGTCGTTCCCAGTCCCTTTTAGCGCCGCGTCTCTCTTTGCCTTACCCAACGGTCGCCCCTCCTTGGCGGGCCCCCATCTCTTTGACCTACCAATTCTTGAAACGCTTCACCACAGATGTGTACGAAGATATCGTCGAAATAGCTAGGCGCAAAGTCTCGAAATGCAGTAGAACGTGCGAGACTATACGAATGAGGGTAGAAAGGGCGTTCTTAAGCCCCTGCGGTATCACGAGCCATTCCCAGAGCATTACGCTGGGTGTAATAACCGCTGTTAGGGGAATGTCCTTTGGACGCATGAGGATTTGATAGAATCCGTCCGTCAGATCCAGAGTAGAGAAGATCGTGCTGCCCGACATGGTGTCCAAAACCATGTCCTTCCGCGGAATCGGGGTCAGTGCAGGGAATGTAGCATCGTTTATCTTGTTAAAGGCGTGAACGATGCGCCACACTCCGGTCGCTTTCTTAACACAAAAGGTGAGCTCGAGTGTGGAGATACACTCACACGAACGTGACCCGCCTGTCTTCGGCCTTCGAAGAAGGTGTCAATCGCATCAATTTGATCACGTGGAAGTGGTCACCGCCGCGTAACGCAATATTTAGAACGTGGCACGAGATCGATCTCGTGCCGTACACTACGGTCAGCAGGCAGGACTGCTGGAACCTTATTCAGAAAACATCAGCAAACTCTTGTGCCAATTTGAAATCCGGATTATTCGAGGACGCTAGCTCATACCATGACTGCGCCACGAAGCGCCCTTT